AGTCTATGTCGATGTATTCGAACATTGTTCGCTTTCTGAGTTTATAATACCTCTATCGTTTCGATAANTCATAAATATCTAGTATATAAATGGATATTCCAGACCTAGTTTTTATTTGATGGATTGAAAGTAAATTAAAATTCATTCAAGCCAAGTGACAATGCATGAAAATTTGCCTCATAGGATCTCCAAACTTGCAAATCTTCCACTTAAATTTAGCGCATTCATGAATTATACATAGGGGATTTTCTTACTACCATAAATTAGTTCATAATTGATACAGTTATCATAAATTAGGTTGCTTATGAAGCTTTTCAAACTTAAAAGAAAAAAAGAAGAGTAATGCTACATTGCCAACCTAGTATACAACTAGGTTGACAACAAAAGTGAAAACATTCAAAAAAATAAAAATAAAAAAATACACAAGTGAATATTTTCACTTGTGTTGTCAACCTAGTTGTATTGTAGGTTGGTAATGTAACATTTTTCAAAAACAAATGTTAGAAATTTTACCAAATAATTTTATTATGTCAACTAATTTAATTAATTTTATTATGTCAACTAATTTTTTACGTATCAGTTATAAGTAGGGAGATCATGGGGTACTATTCGGAGATTTTACAAAAAATTTAGATGGTTCATTTTGGAGATTTTTATGTTTTTTAGTTCGATTGCATTTGGTATTCATGAATATCAGAATGGTTCACTTCCATTCGGAGCTCCATAAATTTTGAATTATTTTTTAATTTTTTTTTGAATGACTACCTAATTATATTTAAATTTCGATATATATTTATTTTAGAAAAGAATCCCAACACGCGTCAATGATTAATCATATTAAAGACTTCACTTGAAAATAAACTTTAGAAAATATAGAAATAACTCAAAATTTTAGTTAATCTACTATTGTGCAATTAATGATGTGAAAATTTAAAATCCAAATAAAATATAGTATAATTGGTTTTTCTTTAAGAGTACCTCTTTAACTTTTCATACCATTTTAATTATAAGATGGGATAAGAATAAAAAAAGCATAAACAAATATAACATAAATACATTATTAAAAAAAATTGTAGATCAGTATTATTAAATATATTATTTAAGTGAAGTTTAATTGTTATTACTATGTCTTATTAAGTATTTTCAAAAACTCAAACTATATAGAATTAAAGTGGACATAAAATATATGAACAAGACACGTGTTATAATAGAATACTTAATTTTGATTTTTTTGTTCGGTCCTGGATGGTATGAGATGGTTTGGTTTGGTCCTTGCTACGAATATTTATGAAATCTTTATAATCATACTAATTATTTTTTTTTTCGGTTCAGTTTAGTTTGAAAAAATTCAAACGGTCAATGAGCATTTTCTATTCGGAGTAAGCTCAGTTCCGGATAGTTTAAAATTCTTCGAGTCTCATGCTCAGCCTTATTAACCTAAGAGCTATATAAGTTACTTATCAGCTATTTTTTCAACTAATGCAATTAAAGTTGAATGCAAAGTTTTATTCTTAAAAAAAAAAATCCAATTAATTCTTGAATGTTTTTACACCATACACCACATATTGTTACACGAGAACACATTCAAATGAGTAAATTCCAACTTACCACTTCATATGATATAAAAATTCAAATTCAATAGTAATTAATTCCACACGTTGTATTGACGCTCATGACAATTTACTAGGGGTAATTTTAACATATATNATATATATATATATATATATATATATATATATAGAGAAGGGATCATATTAGAAAGAGAAATAGTAAAAAAATAAGAATGAATCTGTACCGTTAGATCAATGATATTAATGAACATGATGAAATCAAACATTAATAATTCTGGACAAAACACAATGGCATAGTTGTAAATATATGCACATTTCATGGTCAAATGAACACCTCAAAAGGACACTTGTGTAATTTCAGTTTTATATAGTGGGCTTCACCACTAACCAATCCCCTCCCCCCTCTATCTCTCTCTCTCTCTCTCACAATTACGCACACAAGATCTGTTTTCTTTTCACGACACACACAGCTCTCTCACACACACACACATGCACGCACAATTGGCGGCACCACAGCGCACAGTCCCCGCCCGTCACCACCATCCCCAACCACCGTCACCGACCGGCCGTCGCACACGTCCAGCTCGCCGCTGCGGATCCCAATCCCAGCCGCCGCGGCTCCCTATCCCAGCCACCGCGCCACCCAGCCCAATCGTAGCCGTCCAATCCACAATTCGAACGACGCCTTAGCTAACGGAGCCACCAGTCGGTCGAGCGCGACGGTGGCATTCACGGCGAGAGCCACAAAGTCATTGGCGCGCGGACAATATGTGATTCGAGACGACTCGATCTCGTCACCGGCATTTGAGGAGACTGATGAAATCGTCGCCGACCTGAGATGCAAAGACGGCGGCGGCGGCCGGAAGAGACGGTTGGAGTCGATCCTGTGACATTTTTTCCAGATTTTGTTGGATGCTCAAGGAGTTCACTTTATAAATTTGCAAACATGATGGGGTTTAATTACAATTTCATTAAGTTTAACAAATTACAAATGAGTTCATGGGTAAAATTGTAATTAATGAAACTATAACATAATATTTTAACATTTAATGTACTATTTAGTATTTTTTTATAGTTTTTTATTAAAATAAATATACATAAAAAAAATAATAATATTTTTTATGTAGTTCGGCCATTTGATTATTTCGATTATCTAAATAACTAAAAAATATAAAATTTAATGTATTCAATATAGTTTATTTTTATTTCGGTTATTTGATAGAAATAACCGATATATAAATAAAATATTAATAATAATTATCGAACCAAAACATAAAAGTTCGTACTAAATTTATGTTCGTTGGATATCGTTCATTTTGTGCAATATGATAGACATTTATGTGCAATCCGTATAACCATAATGTGCAATTGTAATACATAAAAATTACATATAGAAAAATATTATCGAGTTTCATAAAAAATTTAAATAAAAAAAATCGGTAATATTGTTTCATATAGTTCGATATATTCGGTTATTTTGTTCATTTAAAAAAATTAAATTCGATATTTAACCAACTAATATTATTCGATCGATTAACATAATTACTATAAATTTAGTTGTAATTTAGGGAGGTGCAACATAAATTTTTGTATAAGGTGCAACATGTTGTGTTATAAGGTGCAATATAATATTGTATACAGTGCAACCTATTGATATGTAAAGTGCAATACTGAAATTTTGATATGTTAGCATGTATGAATGATGTGATTGATATTAAAGTATTATGTAGACCCATTTTATAGATTTTCGTAATATTTTGGTGGAAGTCGTTGAAACTAATTGTTTAATGTGATAATAAAGTGCAACGTGTTGTGTTATAAAGTGCAATCTTGTGCTATATAGAGTGCATTACTATCTTATTATAAGTAGAAAATTAATAAAAGTAAACTATGTTATTATAAGTAGAAAATAAATAAAAGTAATAATTGAACCGAAATATAGACTTTCGAATCGAATATTTTAGTTGGTTGAATTTTAATATCATACAATCATATAGTCATTAATGTACAATCCATATAATTATAATGTGCATTGCAATACATAAAAATATATAAATCGTAATAATAATATTTCTCATATAGCTCAGCTCTTTCAATTTATTATCGAAATAACTTTTTTTTTCAGTTGAAATTATCATAGTCAAACTATCTTGAATTTCAAAAATAATAGAAATATATAAATTCAGACAGAAAAAATCTAAGTTATTTCAGTTTTGATCGGAATGTGCGATCTGACACACATTAATGTGCAGTATGTATAACATTAATGTGCAATGTTTCAGTTGCTAATGTGTTGACTGTTATACTCACACATTTATTCTTATTCTTATATTATTTTAATACTTTATATTATTTTTATTTATTTATTTAACATATATTTATTCAATGTTCTATAAATTATACATTTGGCACATGTATCAAATTTAAATATACTCAAATTTTATCAAATTGCAATCAGCCCCCTTGAAATTATCTAATTTCCCCAATCATGCCCTAATTCCCAAATTTGACATCATCTTCTCCAACTCTCCACCGGCGTCGTTCAGCCATCTCCGGCGAGACATCCGACGTCGACGTGTTCAGAGACATCAGTCATTCCTCCTGGAGCTTCTCCCGCCGCGACTTGAACCCCGACGCCAACTTCCAGCGGGGTGGTGAAACCGGCCATCGATGGATGTGGATGGCGAACGAAGCCGATGGAGCTCCGGACTATGGACCAACGGTGGCGAAGTGCGCGTGACTGCGAGCTCTGCAACGGCTGATGCAAAGATCCCGACGGCGACCGGTTGCCGGATTTTGTCCGAGCTTCGTGGTTATGGTGGATGGCGGCAGCGGATCGAAGGTCCAGCACGTACGGCGGGGCGGCGGTCCGGCGGAGGTGCGGCGACGCCTAAGCCGTCGGTCAGGAGTGACGCCGCCGGGAATTGGGCGGCTGGCGATGGGGATGTTCTTCTTCGTCAATTGCAGTGCGTGTGTGTGTATTACTGTGTGTTTGCTGTGTGTAATGGGTGTTGACCCATATTAATGTGTGTGTGTGTCAGTGTGGGAGAGAAAGAGAGAGAGAGTGGGTAGGATAAGTGATGTGTTTTTGCCACGTGACACAAACTAATTGGGTGTAGGTGATTTATTAGTTGGCACAAATTAATATTAAAATCTTAAAATGTCTAAAATACCTTTCTCATTTCTTTAATTGAGAACCTTTCTCACTGGAACCCAACCCTATATATATATATATATATTTATAAAATTATTTGAATAAATAAAATTCTTTAATATAAATGAAATTCATAGGTTAATCTTCAACATTCAATCGGCCTTTTCCCTTCAAAACATGGATGGATGACCATAGCCCACCTGTGCCAATAGTTGTCCGTGGCTGTACCCGGCTGGTCGCACAAGACCGCCAGCCGACGAGCCATCCCTAAACGGTTAACAATATTTCCCACCCGTTTTTGCCACTTGAGAATACATCGGTAGCAGGTCTGCGCCGATGAAGGCATTTCCTACGAACTGATACGAAAACGTCAGTTGGCCTTTCGGCTTTCCATTTGGCTTCCTCACTTGGTAGCTCACAAACTTCCTCCTGCCCTCATAACCGTCAAAGAGCTCTTTCAATGGCACGCTGACTCGACCGATGGTTTTGTCCCCGAAAGCCCTTCCACAGATGAGCTTGAAGTCGAGGAGGAGGCGGTTCTGCTGCAGAGCCGCCTCGTCCACCGTGAACATCATCGGGAAGCCCCACGTCGGGTTGTTTCCCCCGACAGTGTCCGAGGGCGTTTTGGTCTTTTGTTTCGAGTACTTATCACCACCCGAGATTGAGACGATGGCATGCACGTCCATTCTTGATATGAGGTTTACTTTTTGAAGGTTGCACACGTATTGAAGCGTGATTCTCAAGGTTCGATAATGATCCATCTTTTGTAAATTGGAAAAAAAAAATCGAGAAAAGAATGGAGTGTGAATGTTAGGGTTTTTAGACTTTATGGAGAGGAGTGAGTGTTGTACGTATAGAGAGGGATATATATAGAAATATACAATTGCGGGGTGATTGTATCTTGCAGACTATAGATAAATGTCAGGCATATCTCCTAACTTGAAGTAGAAAGTTAATGTGCTTTTCGGCCTTACTTGAGAATTGCTATGCAATTGCAACTAACAATCATAGTTGAAAGTTTGCTACAAACTGAAATGTCAGCTCATTGACTACTTAGTTATTGGAAATGTACTTGACATTGACATTGATTGTCATGAGAAATCATATAAAATAATTCTACCATACCTATGCAACACAGATCAAACTCAACTCAATCAATTAAAATGATGATGAATTATACAAAAGGTCTGATTAACTTGAGTCACTTCTAGGCACAACTTAGTCAAAAAAATAAGTAAAAATAGTGAAGTCCCACAAAAGATTTTATATTTGGGAAAAATTCAAAACTAGTTTAACAGATTGAGGGGTGCCATTTTGGTTCCGCAAGATAGTGATTATTACAAATAGTTCTACAGCTTTCAAAAAGTAATCAAAAGTAGAACTTTTGATGCAATTTCGAGTCCGAAAGGCCCGATAAGCCATGTAGCGCGGAGGTGGCGTTTTTTCTGGACACGCTGTCAGCCTTCATCACACATGACATGACACTAAACTTGTGGAACTAGTTTTGAAAAATTTATTATTTTTTAAGTTGTTATGCTCTTCTTTTGTTATATAAATTATTATATATATATATATATTTATTAATATAAATATATTATTAAGTAAATTTAAGACAAGATTGTGAATATATATAATTATTTATTATCACTATTAATAAACAATTTTAATTATGAATAAGGATACAATATACATTAAATTAAATTTAGAAAATATTTTTAATTGCTTTTATTTGTGAGGTGTTTTTTATAATAGGTATTCTTTTAGCTTCTTTATAATATTAAATTATTATAAAATTACAAAAAGTAGTTTTATTAATGAAATAAAATTTTCATTCATTAATACACCATAATATAATCATTTTATTTTTTTCCATGAATTTTTGATAAAAAATAAAAATTAAGTATTACATAAAATAAATTTTAAAAAATATTATAAAATATTATTTTGAAATTTAAATATATTATACAAAAAATTGAATGTTATTATGTTCTTTAAACTAGTAAATATAAAAGAATATCATAATTAAATATAATAAAATAATATTGTATTTTGTAAGGTTAAAAGCTAATACATTTCTACGTAATTTTTTTTTTTTTTTTTTTTTTTCCGGAACGATAGATGTACTATAAAAAGCACAAAAGTGCAAAGAGAACAAATTACAAGACCCCAACGAGGTAAGCCAAGACCCCAACAGGGTAAAATCTACGACCCCAACAGGGTAATGAGACAGGGGCCAACGGCCCAAAGCAAAATTGCCCTTAATATCATGACATTTTTAGAAATTGCAATTTAATCAAGACTTTTTTATTTTTACAAATTATATCACAATCTTCAGTTGTTGCAAATTGGTGCACCGATTTGTATATCCCGTGCAAACTATATCAAAAGCTTCAGTTTGTTGTTCGACCACATCAGCTTTTCTATGGCTGTTTTCAGGTTGTTTGCAACAAACTAAAGATTGTGATATAGTTTACAAAAGTGAAAAGGTCATGATTAAATTGCAACTTCGATAAAGGTCGTGATATTAGGGGAAAATTGGCCATAAATAAAAATATACAAAATAAATGTAGACTTACAACTATTTACCAATATTAACTATGCGAATTAAAATGAAAAATAAATAAGTTGTATGTTAAACTATTATTCAATTATTGCATAAAAGGGAATATCATAATGGTTGTAACATATATTTTCAATGAATTTAAAAATGAGTTAGTTACCTAATATTTTATCAAACAATGGAAAAAACCCTAAACTTTTTAATCATATAAACAATATAAAAGTATAATTTTTATCAAATATATCGGACACTCGGGTATTACCCTGGTGGAGACTTTTTAGAGTATTACCCCGTTGGGGTCGGCTCTAGGCGGTCTTTTGACTGTCCTCCCACATTATTCAGCTATTGACTGTTTGTATTCAGCTGGTGGCTGTACTTTGTGTGGTTTATTATAATATCTCTATCGTTTCGAAAAAAAAATATTATTATTATAAATAAAAAATAAATAAGTAATAGTAAATAGTATTTATTTTATGTGATTATATTTAATATAAATGTGCTCTAATCTTTGTTTATTTGGCAATATTTAAATATACATCTAGAAATTGTTTAATCTGAATTTTCTTAATGAAATATGCATCTAGAAACAAAAGTCTTTTAAATTACTACTTATTTTGTAGCGCTTAAATATATGGACTCTGTTAGAAATTGGTTTCATAAATAATGATCTTATATTATTAATTTTGAATTAAATAATTAAAAAATTAAAACGTTGTAATACATAATGTAGATATTAACCATGACTTTGTAAGTATAAAGTTCACAGGTGACTAAGAGTATAACAGTATAATATAATAGAATTATAATTCTTCTCCTCTCTAATATTTTAGCAAATGATATGTTCTTTTAATACTCTCTCTCTCTCTCTCTCTTTTAATTGTTGAAGAATTAAGAAAGGATCTTTATCTTGAATTTTTGAAGCATTACGTATGATGCAAAAAATGGATAATAAAAGCATTAAAGAAGTCATTAGACACATAAATATTGCAAATCTGAATGAATGTGAAAGATATTATGATAAACAACTCTAAAAGCATTGCAACAATCAAAATGGTCAATGGTTTGCAAACAATAGATTATATAGTTCTTCCATCTTTCAAATGAATAACATTGAAATGGGATTGTCAGAGCTTGATCAAAGCATTTTTGAATGTTGGAATGAAGTTGCCACTTCTTGATAAGAATATTACAATCTCATTGGTGTACTGTGCTCGAACATATGTTCAATTATTTTAGAGTACCTACTTTCATCGAATGTGATGATTTCAAAAAATAATTTAATGCTTCCAGAGAAGTAAATATAACTAAGATTTTAGAAAGTCAACTCATATTTGGGGATGAAATTCATTCTGATCCTGTGGCGCTATACCTCAATGTGGTAGGTACCAATTTATCTATGTTGGTTGTAAACATAATATGGTAAGTACCTCATGTAAGTTTACAAAATAGATGTAAACTTACAACTATTACTAATATTAACTATGCGAATTAAAACGGTACCGCGAATGAATCTTCGTGCCACTTATTCTTTGAATGTACCTTTAGCTCGGAGATTTGGGGGGAGATTCATACTTAGATTAGCCTCCGAGGCCGTCCACACTAAAAGGAGCCCTCAAATGGATCAAGAAGGAGGCGAGAGAGAGTGGTTGGCAAACCAAGTTGAAGAAAGCGGCGCTTGCGGCTACCATGTACTTCATTTAGAATGCTAGAAATGGGTTGGTGTTTGAGAATGAATACCAAAGCCCGACTCTTGTAATTCGCAAGGTAAAAACACATATTTATCACACTATTTTTGGTACTTACCCGAATGTGCTTGTTGAATTTGAGAGAAGGAGCCTTGGACTTTGAGAGGCATTTTGGTGCTGGATTGATGAGGTTTTGAGGTGGCCATTGGGTATGGTTTTGCCTTCCATGTCGAGGGGAAAAAGATTTGAGGAGCATGGGCTGTTGATCGGAGGCCCGAGCGATGAATTAGAAGCTCTAGGAGTTAAACTATTGTTACCGGGATAAAATTTTGCTAGCCCATGTCAATCCGCTCCCGCGAAACCAGTTTCGCGAGCGAACTCCAGTTTGCGAGGCACAAGGTATCAAAACTCGCGCTCGCGAGTTCAAGTCCGCGGGATACCACAATTTCCGCGAGACCAAGGCACGGACAGAGGCTGCAATCCGCGCACGCGAGATGCGAACCGCATCTGCGAGCTCACCTTCTCTCGCGAGTTTTTCTTCGCGGGTGCGAAATGCTCAACGACACGAGTGCTTAGTTTCAGGTCCGCGCTCGCGACCTTCCTCCCGAGCCCGCGAGTCAATCTACCCAGCAAGTACCTGATCCGCGCTCGCAAATTGTCTAATGCCGCGAGCTGCCTTAGTCCACAAGTAGTCCACCGTCCGCTTGCGCGAGCTACAATTCGCGCTTGTGTCCACGACTCATCCTGCCCAAGTGGATGCTTTGCGACCGTTAGGGCCCGTATGAACTCGGTTTTCAGTGCTGTTTTTTCCTATGTGTACCTAACGAACTGTTATTCGAGACCTATGAATGAACTTTTTCATTTTGATTCCAGTACTCGTGAGTGATCAACCGACTTATGATTGGCCTTGTATATATGGCGAATGAGGAACTGACTTAGTGGTTGCCCATTACGCTTTTGTATGCCGTTGAACGGTTGTCCGAAATATTTTTGATATATATATTTACATTTAACGATAAACAAAAACTATGCGAATTAAAAGAAGAAATAAATAAGTTGTATGTTAAACTATTACTCAGATTCTCTCATTGAGATTTACATTCCTTTGGTGAGGGTGTACGTTGAGGGGGAGGAGATTCTGTGTGATAGTTAGCAGTAGGTTCTATGATTATCTCTTTGAGACCTGAATTTCCTTAGTGAGGTTTTTTGTTGAGTGAGGGTGAGGGATTGGGTGTACTGGTGAGTGGAAGGGTTCGGGGTAACTGGTTACGAGGGGGATGGATTCACACAACAGAGACAATTGGGGAGAGGATGTTATGTCCAAACTCCAAATATTTTCTCTATGAAAAAATAAGCTGACGATATTGAGATCCGACAGGATGATATCAAATCGAGCGAGGAGGAGTTCAACCATAGATTGTTCAGGAAAGTGGTGGGGGACAGGCGAGTGGGGCTGCTAGGGATTAAACGAGCTATGGGAGCTATTTGGAAGATCCAACAAAAACTGGAGGTTAAA